GCCATAATTTTTTGAGGTTTCTTGAACAAATATGGTAACATCTTTCATTGTCTAGTGGACCAGCCACAACCTCAGCACATTGAAAAGAACAGGCGGTATCATTCTTACTATTTTTAGTTCCTGCTCCACCCAAAGTAAAAGGTTCTAGAAATTGCAGTACAATTTTTCCCAGATCCTTACTGCTCGCAAAATCTAATTCTTCGTTACCCGGTTTATGACTTCTAAGCCTTTCAAGACGACTACTTCGCCTCTCCTAAGGTTGTTCTTCATACATAATTGCTTCCTTCTTAGTAAAAACACTTCCTTTGCCTGAATTACAATTACTGTAAGACTTATTTTTAGCAATTGGGGTGACAGTACATTCTTTTCTTTCCCCAAACCCCATAACAATTCTTGAACTATGAGGCAACTTTATACTTAATCCAACATCCCTAGATCTAGCTAATTCTCAGGCTCTTGTTCACAACCAGATCCACTCAATGGAAGTAAGATTTCCAGAAGTATGTCAGCAAGAGCTGTCCAAGAAGCCTCTGGGATATACAATTCTATGTTTTGGTTCACCTTTTTGGATAGGATACCATCATCTTGATCATTATTTGTTGCTTTTCTCTTTTCCAGAAATTTCAATCGGACATGTTTAGGTTCCAATTTGTCTATACCTCTTGGAGCATATGGGATTGGTTCAGACTCCTCAATGGTACTTTTGACATGCAAAGCACGAGAATGTGATGGGCAATGCCTTAAAATCAATTCTGCAATAGAAAGGAACACCACATATCCGTTAAGAGCATTGTCATACCGCTTTGAAGTTTTGTCTCAAATCACTTCGAATTTAGGTCTAATTCCATACTTTGGACGCTTAATAATAAATTTAAATTATAGTATCTATAGAGACTTAAACCTAAACATTGAGCTAAAAACTCTGTTCTTACCTATGGATCAACCACTCAGTGGTAACTAGTGTATTCTTTCAATATCCATTACAATATAAATTTGTATAGCCTATACTAATGGTTACTCATGCAAAATATCATATCTGCATGGATAATTAACATTTATATATGTTCACCATCATAGTTTTAAAACTTAGCATAGACATTAACCCAGTAAAGAAATCGGGTCAGCTGGTCATTGGTCGGACCGATTGTTTAATAAAAATTAAAATAAATAATAATAATAATAAATATACCAACAAATATAATAAGCATAAAAATAGCTAATGGGCCCAGCTTAGGTGATGCCCAACTAAAGTAATGAGTCCGGTTTAGACAAGGCCCAACTTAGATAGTGGGGCTGGCCCGAATAAGGACCGACTAAAGGAATGGGCCTTGCCCAGTCAAAGTCCAATAGACCCGACCCATATGAGACCCAGCTCAGCTCACCATGGAATCAAGAGAGCACAGTCGGCCACGCCATCCTGGAGCCAAGGAGTCAGTCACGCCATCTGGAACTAAGGAGTCAGTCATGCCATCTTGGAGTCAAGGAGTCAGCTACGCCATCCTAAGACCTAGTGTGCAATTGATAAAGAGATCTCCGTGCAAGTACCCCGTCCATTGCGAGAAAGGTACCACCTCCACTGAATTAGCCTATCTGTTACGAATATAATGCCTCAATCGGTTATGAAACGTCTATAAATTATAAGTTTCACCTACATATGGAGGGCATCTTGCATTTTCTCTTACACTTGACTCACCTGAGCTCCCCACACTCCTACAGTAATAAAACACCCCGACAACCAAAGCCCTTCAAAGTGGATTAGGTCATCTTGATCGAACTACTATATCCATGGGTGTTGCTTGTGTTGAGTTCTCCATCATATTTTCTGTATTTTATTAACCATAATAATCACTCTACAGGTGGTGCATAAAATTGATTTGAGCATCATCAGTAACTATGTTTAATGTCTATTGGATCAAATAAAACCTATAAATTTAGACCAAAAAAAAATTGCCAAATTCCAAATAAAAAACTCAGAATCAGATTTTACAGTATATCAACAATCAATTTGCATGGTTAAATGTCAAAACTCTAAAGGTAACCTTATAACCTTTATAAATCCACGTATCAAAAAAATCACAACCACATGCTACAACACCACAAATAAAAAATAGCAAAAAAGAAATCAAATTTGTGTTGAGAATGTAGAGAAGAGAGAGCGAGGTAATGACAAACTTGAGGGCGGTGAGATTATGCTACAATAACCCAGTGAGGAACGACTACAACCTGTTCGTGGTAACCCCACACCAAATAAAAATTCTATAACAAGTTGAAGGAAAACATGTCAAAACTTTGCATATTTTTCACTGAAAGTTGTTTACCTAGGTTTTATAGGATTTTACAGAGAGTGAGGAACCTTCGACTGTGTGTTGTGTTGAGTCATTGGCCCTCACAACAGCTCAAATGGTATTGAGGGGAGAAACTACTTAATTTAGGACAAAAAATGCCCAAAAAGGCTAATTGTTTATACCATTTTAATTGATCCGGTCAGTGGGTTGAACAATTTTCTCATCAATTACATGGCTTAATGGGTTTTTTCTAAGTTTTTTTTGCTCAACCGGTCTAATGTAAGAACCATAACGATTTAAGCTTTAGTTTGCCGATTTACTGGCTCAACTTGTCGGGCCTAGCCAAATTTTCAAACAATGTTGATATCAGATATTGAGCGAGATAGGTGACTGAGTCATGGGACCTCACACATGCTCAAATGGTTGCGAGAGGATGAAACTGCATAACATAAAGTAAAATGTCAAAATTTGTAAATTGCTGTGAACAAGGCTATTGAACCAATCCCTTATTGTGTTATGAATCATGAGAACTGGAATGAATGGTAACGGACCAAAAGGCAAAAACAACACAATCTAGCAAGCCAACCCTAAGTATTTTTGTTTGCAAAACTAAGTACCACACATGCATTATTTCCCACTGAAATTGGCTTTTGAAGGAAAGAACTATAAAAATAGCAGTAAAAATATATGTCATAAAGTAACATATATTAAAAGAACATGAGAGTTTCCTCCAATCGGTTGAGCAATTGGTAGATTGTGTTGGTATCAATCGAAGCGTATGCATCTTGTCAAGTTTTGACAGTAGTTAATCATTCAACAGAAGTCAATGTTCCTCAAAAATAATTCTGTGGGCAATCTAACTCATTCTGTGAGCTATAGATAATTATTTCTGAAACAAACACATATAAAAAAAATGAAAATAAAAAAAATGAGCTGGGTAATTTTAAATTTAAAATTTGATCGAATATTATACCTTTCTTGGCAATCAAATTAGAGGAACCTCATCCATTTCAAATTTGTTTCTCTCTTATACTATTTCAACAATTTCTTGGTAGCCAAATGGGTCATCAATGATCATACTTAAATACCAATCATTATTACAACGAAATCAAGAATCATACTCAAACATATATCATATATTCGTTAAAATTTATACATATATGTGTTGAGATATGGGAAAATTAAAATGGGTTTGCCTGGGCTTCCTTGGTGGGAGCTAAAGTTTCCCACTGACCTTTTGTGTCTGCATCGTTTATAGCTGCGATTGAGAACTAAAACATAATAAAGAAATTCCTAAGAAACCCATCTTATTAAAGGTTTGTACTCTTTTTATTTACAAGAACACTGTTGAAAAGGGAAAAAAATACATGAAATCAATGCAAAGTACCATTTTTCAATATTTATGGTGATGTACGGAACTTCGGGAGTGCTGTTCGTGGGTTTTTCTCATCTCAGCTTTATGATTTAGGCGGGTTGGGTTTTTGCTCCCATGTTACTTTTGGGATATGGAACTTTCGGTTTACAGCAGAACCCCATAGAATGATAAATACTTTCCTTTTCGGTCAATTTCTCTATTAATTAGTGTATTCTTTCTTTTCTTTTCTTTGGTTTACACAAAATAATATGCAGGCACACCACATATCCGTTAGGAGCATTGTCATACCGCTTTGAAGTTAAGTCTCAAACCACTTTGAAGTTAGGTCTCATCGCATACTTTGGACGCTCAATAATAAATTTAAATTATTGTATCTATAGAGACTCAAACATAAACATTGAGCTAAAAAATCTATGTTCTTACCTATGGACCAACCGCTCAGTGGTAACTAGTGTATTCTTTCAATATCCATTATAATATAAATTTGTATAGCTTATACTAACAGTTACAGCTACAAAATATCGGATCTACATGGATAATTAACATTTATATGTGTTCACCATTAAATCGGTAAAGAAATCGGGTCTGTTGGTCATTGGTCGAACCGATTATTTAATAAAAAATTAAATTTTAATAATAATAAATATACCAACAAATATAATAAGTATAAAAATAGCTAATGGGCTTGGCTTAGATGAGGTCCAACTCAAATACTGAGTCTGGTCCAGAAAAGACCCAACTTAGACAGTGGGGTTGGCCCAAACAAGGCCCGACTCAAGTAATAGGCCCGGACCAATCAAAGTCCAATGGGCCCGACCCATATGAGACCCAACTCAGCTCACCACGGAGTCAACAGTGCACTGTCGGCCATACCATCCTGGAGTCAAGGAGTCAGTCACGCCATCCTGGAACTATGGAGTCAGTCACGCCATCTTGGAGTCAAGGAGTCAACTACGCCATCCAAAGACCTAGTCTACAATTGATAAAGAGATCTCCATGCGATTAACCAATCCGTTGCGAGAAAGGTACCACCTCCACCGAATCAGCCTATCTGTTACGAATATGATGCCTCAATCTGTTATGAGACATCTATAAATTGTAAGTCTCACCCACACATGGAGGGCCTCTTCTATTTTATCTTACACTTGACTCACCTGAGCTCCCCACACTCCTATAGTAATAAAACACTCTGACAACCAAAGCCCTTCAAAGTGGAGTAGGTCATCTTGATCGAACTACTATATCTCTGTGTGTTGCTTGTCTTGAGTTCTCCATCATATTTACTACATTTTATTAACCATACTAATCACTAGACATGTGGTGTATAAAATCAATTTGTGCATCATCAGTAACCATGTTTAAAGTATATTGGATCAAATAAAACCAAGAAATTCAGACAAAAAAAAAAAATTGCCAAATTCCAAATTAAAATCTCAGAATCATATTTCACAGTATATCAACAATCAATTTGCTTGATCAAATATCAAAACTCTAAATGTAACCTTACAACCCTAAAAAATCCACAGATCAAAAAAATCGCAACCACATGCTACAACACCACAAATACAAAAAAAAAAAAATTAAATTTGTGTTGAGAATGTAGTGAAGAGAGAGCAAAGGAGAGCGAAGTAATGACAAACCTGAGGGTGGTGATATTATGCTACAATAACCTGGTGAGAAACAACTAAATCCTGTTCTTGGTAACCCCACACCAAAAAAAATTATAACAAGTTGAAGGAAAACATGTTAAAATTCTGCAGATTCTTCACCGAAAGTTGTATGCCTAGGTTTTATAGGATTTTACAGAGAGTGAGGGGCCTTCGACTGTGTGTTGTACTGAGTCGTTAGATCTCACAAAGGCTCAAATGCTATCAAGGGGTGAAACTGCATAATTTAGGACAAAAAAATGCCCAAAAAGGCTAATTGTTTATACCATTTTAATTGATTCGGTCGGTGGGTTGAGCAGTTTTCTCATGAACTGCACGGTTTAATGGGTTTCTTTTGAGTTTTTGGCTCAACCGGTCTAATATAAGAACCAAAACGATTTAAGCTCCAATTTGTTGATTTACTGTGTCAACTCATTTGGCCTAGC